GGCGCAGGGTCCCAGCCGGCGGCACGGCCGAGGTAACGGCGGGTACCGGCTGCGGCGCGGCACCACGCCGCCGTGGGACGACCTCATCCCTCTCCCTCCATCTCTTCCTGCTGCAGGGAGCCCTGGGCTCCACCAACCTTCTCCAGATGATGTACCAGGAACCGGCGCGGTGGTCCTACACCTTCCAGACCTTCTCCTGCCTCAGTCGGCTGAAGGCGATGCTGGAGCTACCGCCTGAGCGCTTCCCCGGGACCCCCCACCCCGTGCGGGTCTTCGAGCGCTCCGTCTACAGCGACAGGTACCCAACGCCCCCACGTTACATGAGGAGAGAAGAGGGATGGAGGGATTAAATAGGATAACGAGCATCCCCGTGGCCCGGGTTGTGTCCCCTGGGACCTCCGGGCTGAGCAGAGCCACTGTCCCCGGTGAAGCCTGAAGCGATGCTTAATTACAGAAATGTGCTTGTTGGATAATTTAGGCCTTCGTTACACCCCGAATAATTTTTGCTGGTGGCTGCCCCATCCTCACCCGTGTCAGGCGGTGGCTCGATGTCCTTTAGGTGATGGCCGGGGAGCCACGCCGGGTGGCTGCGTGTCCCCCCAACATCCCTCAGCCCCGAATTAAGGATTTTTTTAAACACCCACAGTTCTCGGTTGGAGCAAAATAAAAAAGAAAAGTGAAAAAATGGCTGTGAAGCCACCCGAGCGTGGGAATGGCTCAGAGGTCCCGGTGCCGGCGGTGCCAACTCCCCGGTCCCCTCTCTCCATCCCATCCCAGGTACGTCTTCGCCAAGAACCTCTTTGAGGCCGGGCCCCTGCAGCCGCTGGAGTGGGCCATTTACCAGGACTGGCACAGCTTCCTCCTGCGGCACCTGGGCCCCCGCGCCGCCCTCCACGGCTTCCTCTACCTGCGGGCCACGCCGCAGGTGGGTGCCGGCCGGAGCTCCTCCGCCACCACCCCGTGTTCCCATGGCACGCGTTCGGCTCAGCGCAGAGCCTGGCGAGGTCATGGAATTGCCAAAACGTTGGGTTTTAACCCTAAATAGTTGGCCTGGAGGAGCGGGACCCGCTCCCGTTCCCGTGGGAATGTTGGGGGGAGTTTTGTTACCATCCTAAAGTGGATTTGGGGGACGGGGGGCTTCAGCGTCTTCCGGGGGATGCGGTCCCTGCCTTGGGGCTGCTTTGCCCAATGCCTGCATCCCGCTCACCTCCCCGCATCCCGCTCACCTCCCCGCATCCCGCTCACCTCCCTTCTCTCCCGTTCACCTCCCATCACTCCCGCATCCCTTCAACCTTCCATCTCTCATTAACCTGCCGTCTCCCCCACATCCCGTTCACCTCCCCACATCCCGTTAACCTCCTGACTCCACGGCATCCCCTTAACCTGCCATCTTTCCCGTTAATCTCCCATCTCTCCTGCATCCCATTAACCTCTCTGCATCCCCTTAACCTGCCATCTCTTCCATTAACCTCCCATCTCTCCCGCATCCCATTAACCTCCTGTCTCTCCCATTACCCTCCGGTCTCCCCCACATCCTGTTAACCTCCCTGCATCCCGTTAACCTCCCATCTCCCCGGCATCCCCTTAACCTGCCATCTTTCCCGTTAACCTCCCATCTCTCCTGCATCCTGTTAACCTTCCATCTCTCCCGTTAACCTCCCGTCTCCCCCACATCCCATCACCCTCCCGTCTCCCCCGCATCCCGTTAACCTCCCGTCTCTCCCATCACCCTCCCATCTCCCCCGCATCCCGTTAACCTCTTGTCTCTTCCATTACCTTCCCATCTTCCCCGCATCCCGTTAACCTCCCTGCATCCCGTTAACCTCCCGTCTCCCCGGCATCCCCTTAACCTCCCTGCATCCCCTTAACCTGCCATCTCTCCCGTTAACCTCCCATCCCTCCCCTCATCCCGTTGACCTCCCGTCTCTCCCGTTACCCTCCCGCCTCCCAGACGTGCCTGGAGCGGCTGCGGCGGAGGGCGAGGAGCGAGGAGGGGGGGATCCGCCTGGGCTACCTGCAGCAGCTCCACATGCAGCACGAGCGCTGGCTGGTGGAGAAGACCACCCAGTGAGTCCGAATCCATCCCCACCGCGCTCCCCCCCACCCCGGCACTGGAACCAGCCACGGTTTTGAGGTGCCCCCACTGATTTGGGGGGTTATTTGGTTGAACCCCTTCTCTCCTTCCCTTCTTCAGGGTCCACTTTGCGGACATGAAGCACGCGCCCGTCCTGGTGCTGGATGTGGACAAGGACTTCGAGCACGACGTGGCCGTGCAGGGTGTCCTCATGGCGCAGGTGGGCACAGCCGCAGCGGCACAGCTCGGTGGCATCCCGCTGCTGGGAGTGCCGGGAGCACCGGGAGCGCGGTTGGAGTCGTGCTGACCTCCGAGCCTCCGCCTCATCTGCATTTTTCCATGGAAGAAATAATTTCCACATCCTTGGTCCAAGCTGGTTTAAACCTCGGCCATCCTGGTGCCATCCCGGTACTATCCAGGTGCCATTCCGGTGCTGCGCTCTCAAATCAGCTTCTCCTTGCAGGTGGAGGCTTTTGCAACGGCGAGCCAAAGCGTTGCCATCGCCCCCTGACCCTCGCTGAGCGGCGGCGGCGGCAGCACCATGCCTGCCCACCGGTAGCCGCGCCGAGCGGCAGAGCCGGGAGAGGGGCATCACCGCCGTGAGCTCCGGTGAAGATCCCACCGCCAAGGACAAGGGACAAGTCGTGGTCCCCCAACTGTCCCCCTCGGTCCTTTTCTTTTGGGTGAGGGGTGTATTTAAGACGCTGACAGCACGGGGATGGTTTTAAGGTGAATAAGTGGAGGTGCAGCCATAGGCTGAGCTCCGGGGCAGCGTGGCACGCTCCCCGCGCTCCCTGGCACATTTCGGGGACCAGGTCACCGCCGCCACCCCCTCCCCATCTCTCGGGCTCCCCAGCCTGAGGTGCCGGAGCTGGGGATGCTCCGAAACGTGGATTTTAACGCGCCGGTTCAATTCCAACCGAAAATCATCGTGGCTCACGTTTAGGTTACACCAACCCCCATATTTTATTATTTTATATCGTATTTTTTTTCCCCTTAAATTAAAACCAAAGTGATGTTGAGCTCTTCTGCATCCTGACCCACGGGCGAGGGGAGTGGGAGGTTGGAAGGGGGGCTTCAGTGGGTGCTGTGCCATGGGGGGGACGTTGTTCCTCCGATTTCAGGGTGTCTGCAGCCAGGGGAGCGGGGGGTGACCCCGTGGAGGGGGGAACGGATGGGGGGACAGTGCTCCGGGGTGTGGGTCAGGCTGGGCTGAGTTTTGGGGAAAACCATGGGGATTTCACTGTCCCACACGATATCCTGATCTGTAAATCGGAGAGATACGGATTCGACAGATGGACCACTCGGTGGATAATTGGCTGCAGTCACACCCCCAGAGTCGTGATCAACGGCTCCATGTCCAAGTGGAGACCAGTGACGAGTGGCGTTCCTCAGGGGTCAGCACTGGGACCGGTGCTGTTCAACACCTTTGTTGGTGCCATGGACAGTGGGATGGAGCGCACCGTCAGCAAGTTGGCTGATGATCCCGAGCTGTGTGGCGAGGCAGAGACGCTGGAGGGGAGGGATGCCATCCAGAGGGAGCTGGACAGGCTGGAGAGGTGGGCCCGGGCCAACCTCATGAAGTTCAACACAGCCAAGTGCAAAGTCCTACAACTGGGTTGGGGCAATCCCAAGCACAAATCCACAGAATCACAGACTCACTTGACCAACTCCGCCAAGGTCTGACGGGTTTTCTTACATCTTTTGGCAAGGTTTATGGAGGGCACGGTTGTGGAGGAGCTTGTCCCCCCTACTCGTGGTGGCAAAGGGTAACCTCTGGTTGAACCCGCAGCAGATATCCTCAACAAGGGAGGTCTAGAGGCAGCAAATACCCTAATTCAGAATCACAGAATCCCAGAGTGGTGGGGG